TGAACCTCGTGAGTTCTAACTTGTTGTAATAATAAGACGTGATGTACTCGATGTCCTTCAGCTCCGTGGAGTTAAAGACACATTCATCCGTCATAAACTCCAGGAATCCATCTGAAGAACGGATGGGATCAGTGATCACTGTTATTGATTACTGATCAGTCTATAAACAAACAGGCGGTGCATTGATCACTTTATTGATCAGTGTTGATGAGTATTGATCCTACCTGCTGCGTGGAGGCCGATGAAGAGGAGGGAGACGCTGATGAAGGATGGAGCCATGTCTCTGTGTTCACCGGACAAAGTGACAAAGACGCGCTGAGAGCGGCTGTAAAAAGCGGAGCGGAGGTCACGTGACCCACGTCAGCGACGTCATCACCTGTTACCAGGCAGACAACATCAGCAGAGTGAGCGCCAGCGCGCTGCGTGCTATTGTACTAATAGTATACAAGTATTACTGTTGAGGACACCATGGTACTGTATTAATACAGTGATAAGGATTGTCAAGTTTCGTGTGTTTTTTCTGATTAATCACGGCTCTGCCCAAACTTGAAAAGAGCTTTCTCTCCGGTGGACACAAAGGACAACTCGAGAACTGTTTATTTTATGATCCTTTATTCCTCTTAAGGGTGGTTTGGTGGATCAGACAAAGAACAGAGCAGGTTGATAACCTTTCAGACAAAGCAAAACCCATGAATTAGTCGAGTACATTTCGATAATAACTTTCTTAAAGTAATAATAAATAAATGCAACTGAATTCCCAAACCAAACCCAAATTATTCAGATAAACCTAGGATAAGTCCCCATTACTTAATTTAAATGACACATTTCACTAAGTAAAGCAAAGCATGAACAAACAATAAATCATACTGTCCTACCAGTTGCGTCTCTGGGAGATTAGGAGCCGTGGCCACAGTGTGCTTTTCCTCAGGGCCGAGTGAGAGGGCTATCCGAGCTCTCCACAAACATTTTATGCCATGCGCTTCCTGTTCGTACGCAGGCACTTCCTGTGAGTGGAATCTCCATTAGCCGCATCGTCGCCCCCTGCAGTCTGGGTGCGCTCCGACTGTCCGGGGTGGATATGGGCCTTGAGTTCTCTGTGCGGCTTGTGACCGGAGATTGACGCAACACCTCCCACTTGACCTCCTGGTTCCTCAACCCAAGGAGGTCACACCAGTACCTATGTGGTGTCAGATTTAATTACTCCATTTTTGATCCTGTTGCTACTGCTGCTCTTCAACTGGGAGTAGGACAACTATCCGCCGGACATCCCTGTGAAGAATTGTTGCAGGTATCTTGTTCGAGCGTTTTTTTCCCTTTTTAGTGAGTTTCACAGTTGCGACTGGGTAGCTGGGAAAGGATCGGAGATATACATCCCTCACAATTCCCTTCCTGTCAGTGCTGACGTCAATGACCCTGGCAAGCCTGAACTGACCCCTCAAGGCATTCTGGTCGGCCAGCCAGACGACATCTCCAATTGCCACATTCCTGTGAGCTGTGTGCCACTTAGTCCGGACAAACAAGTTTGGTCCGGCTAACTGGCTCCATTTCCTCCAGAACCTGTCAACTTCAGTTTGGATGGTTCTTAATCTGTTGTAAGAGTAGCCTTCAAAGTCAAAGGTCCCTGGATCCCCTCTGGGTCCAGTTCTTCCAAGCAGAAGTGCATTTGGGCTAATGTATTCAATACAGTCCTCTCGGCTCTGAGTCCTGGCATCGATAGGTCGTTCATTGGCAAGGTTGGAAGCCATGTAGAGGAAAGTTTGAAACTCACCCCATGTGAAGACTCCATTACCCCCCAGATTGTGCAAAGCCCGCTTCACAGTCCGGACAGCAGCCTCAGCAGCTCCGTTTCTGTGAGGTGAGTCTGCTGGATGGATCTTCCAGCTCCACTCTGTGCCATGCTTGGAACAGTCATTTCCAAGCTCTGATTTTTCCAGTCGGTCCAGAAACATGTGGAGCTCTTTGAGGGCAGGGTTTGGCTCCGACAAAGTTCTTCCCAGGATCCGACCACAATTTTCCTTGGGTGTCCTCTCAGTGCCGTAAATCTTTGGTAGGCTAGCAGGAAGCCTTCAGCCGACTGGTCACTGACTAGGTCTGTGTGCATAGCTCTGGACGCCATGCAACAGAAGACGATTCCCCACACCTTGAGTTTCACTTTCTTTCTTACCTCATCCTTCACTTCATATGGTCCAAATAAGTCCACCGTTGTGTACTCAAATGGATTGGCTGGTGTTATTCGCTCCGATGGAAGGTCACTCATGATCTGTTGGCACCTTCGGGCCTTAAGTCTCCTGCATATCACACAGTTATCAACGATCTTCTGAGCTAGTTTCCGGCCTCTCACCACCCATGCTTTCCTTCTCATCCGGAGGAGTGTGCCTGCAATTTCTTCATGGTTTGCCTTGTGGGCTTCTTGAGCCAGAAGAGTGGATACCCATGATGTGCAGGGCAAGACTGGTACTGCAGTTTTTTCTTTATTAAAGATTTGGAATCTTCCTCCACAGAGCAATAGTCCAGTGTTTTCCTCCCTGACCACGGCAAGCCTGCTGAGTGTGGTGTCTGGCAAGACTACCTCCATTTGAGCTGCAAGGAAGAGATCCCTGAGTGCATCCTCACACTCCATGATGGTAAGTGTAGCTTCCTTGACTCTGGACTTGATCTCAAGAGTTGAAAGAATCTCCTTCCTCTTTGGCTTGCTTCTGGTTGGGGTCTTGGCCAGCATTTCTTTCCACTTTGTGGCAGCTCTCCACACCCAGGCAATGACTCTTATCAACCTGGTTAAA